CTTATGTAATTTAACACTGCCTAATGTTTAATTTGCACGTTTTATCTCTTGCATGCTAAAAAGCTAGTAGTTGAAAATCAAAATTATAGCCAATATAAACCGTAAAAAGTGTTTCATGTAACAACTGAAATAATTTTATTGTAACAATGAGTAATTTAAAGAATATATTGAATAAAATATCTAAAGCCGTTATCAATCGTAAAGACATCATTTTAAGGTCCAGATTACTTCGTGTCTATACATACCGTTTTTTCGTATAAACTCAAGCGTCTAGGTTTTATAGAAATGGATTGCTGAATAAAGAAAAATCTTATCTAGTAACGGTATCTCATATTGTTTTCACACGTTACAGGCTAAATTATTAACTCTCAATTACAATGCTAGCGAACTGTTATCATAAGGATCAGGTAATGATGTTATTGTACTGTAATTAATATGGCGCATTTGTGAAAATACGAGAAAATTATTTACTAAGAATTCGTATTAATACTTTACCTATCTTAATAACATACAAACAAAACGAGACGAAACTATTTCGGGAAGAATGAAATGTAATTATTAAGATATAGATGTATACATGAACTTTTATATATTTTTACAGAAGATAGCGTTTTATAGGTGGTAGAATTTCGTCTGGAGTAAATCTAATAGATTTTTTTATTACGTTAGCAGAGGTCTCAAACTAAAATCCGCTAGGTAACTATCTTGTTCTTGATAAAAAATGTAAAAGCTTGTAAACAATGGCTATGAGAACAAATGATTAAAGTTTCTAAATGAACGCAAACGTCACAGCGTGTTAAGGGAGGGTGGAAAAGAAACACTCGCGGTAATTGAAAATGCTTTTAAGTTTCATGTCAATGTTGTACCGTGCGAATGCGTCAGCCTCAGAATTGCATAGCGTAGTATGTGGAACATCCAGTACGATGTGTAGCTCAGTCACTAATACAGACGTCAGATCTTTCAACGTGCTGCATTTAACAGTGTCCATGTTTCACTCCATCTAAGCCGGGTTTCTGCTTTGACTCTGATCTTAAAAACGGACGGTTGTTTGTCACGAGTTTCATAAACAGTCAAACTATAATTTGACGCTTGGCTATGTTTTATATGGACGAAGGGCAAACAGCCCACCAAGTGATAAAGCATTACCCCGCCCTTGGACATCCGCAACACTAGAGGAGTTGCAAAACTTTTGCTGACTTCTAAGTAAGGTCTTTTCTTATTGGTTCATCGTATTGGCCATATTTGATTCTACAAAACAGTCGCGCGTGTTTGAAAATTTTTCTCCCATACAACGGATATGATCATTTTTGTCGTTTTTTTTTTGATAATGGTACGAAAGCCTTCGTGCGCGGTCTAGGCCAGGCTTTTTGCTCTTGCTCTTTGTTTATTTTCATTGCAAAATTAAGGGAATTGTAACCTTTTGAAAAGGAATGGAAGATAAGTTAATATTATAGGAATCCGTGGGATGAGTACATAATCGCCTTTTCCTACGCCTGTAGGGTTTGGCACCAATAATGTTTCGCCCAAGTTGTGTCAAAAAAGTAGAATTGAAGTAATATATTTAACCATCTTCTTTTTATGTATGCGGTCGAATATCGGCATCAAACTTATGTTTCATGGAATCCGGACAAATAATAGCCATATTTTGATAGCGATTCGATAGGCCAGTCACGTCTCGTCCCGAGTTTCACAGCAGTCATCGCTTAGCAATTCTAACAGACGCTGTTCGGCGGAGAATATTGATTTTCAAGAGTTCTTGACACGAATGATTGTTACAGTTTTTGAATTAATTTCGTCAACGTTGATGAAATTGCTACTTTACTTAGGTGCATTTAATAATAAAAGTTCGACCATATAAATAAACCTTCACCGTATTAGCAGTTTAATCAGGCCGCGAATGACGAAGACGTGGGTTCGATTCCCACAGCGGCGACAATCTTTTCGTACTTTTTCTACAAGTTTTAATGTTTAATGTTAAGTGCAGAGATTAGCACTATAAAAAAATTTTGAAGCTTAAGAAATTTGATTAGTCGAAAAGTAGTTGTAAAACATCTCTCAGATTTCATTCTGTAACATCAGATTGCGTGTCTTAAAACCAAGGCCTATAAAATAATAATGTTTATATGCGTTTATGTTGCATTATGTACGTACCTTTATATTGCTAATCAGTCCTATGGGCCCTTAATGTCACGTCACAGCCTTAAAATTTCGACTACTTGGCCACAGGTGGCTTTTAGGACGCTCGTTCAATCTTAAAGGGCAATCAAGCTTTTGTATGTTCACTCCAAATAAACCTTATATTATGTATTGCGAATATTTTAGCCAAGTCTAAACATTTAAAAAAAAACGTGTGCAGCAGAAATATGCTTCGATAAGAAATTTCATCCCTGACCGTATTACGTAACAATTCAACAAAAAACCAAAATGCAACTAATCACTACATAGTCTAAAACAAAATCGTCCCGCTGTCTGCGTGTCCCTATGTATGCTTAGATCTTTAAACTACGCAACGGATCTTGATACGGTTTTTTATACTAGATAGAGTGATTCAAGAGGAAGGTTTATATATAAAACATTGCACCTTACAAAGCCGGGGCAGGTCGCTAGTTATATGTAAAATGTTGTAATTTATAAAAACCTATTATTTGTTTGAATAATATGTTTAGATTATTTTCTGTTGTCTACGTAACCTGAGCTTTTTTCAGCTTTCATCACCAATGCCTACATCACACTAGTTTTTTTGAAAATCCATATTGTTAAGTTTAACAATCGGCTAAGGCTGTTGAAACTCCAATCGGGCCATCTTGCCCGGCCAACCCTATTCTTCGTTTCAAATATTGAAATGTAAGTGCCATACAAAATTTAACAAACGTGCTATGAAGATAATTTAGTCGTAAAATGACCTAATGAAGTGTATGTCTCATGTCTCTTGGGCGGAATCCATAGAGTATTCATGCATAAATGTTTGATCCACATAAAATCTGTTTCATAATAAATAATTATACGCTTTAGCCAAATTATTAAATACAATAAATACGTTTCAGCTTAATACCCTTTTATTATACGTTACTTAATTTTTTAATATATCCATTTCTACAGCTAGATGCTTTAACATACTATTGGTTAGTAAAAACGTTTCGTTTTGGGCTTGTTTTTTCGTCAACTTTTTCCATTATTCGTGTGTAGTATATGCATATTTGTCGCACCAAATGTTACAAAAGTTTTCGATTCGTTTGTTCGACATCAAAGCTGCGATAAAGTGTTACCGAAATAACAAAAGCGAGAAATACTCCACTGAAAATGTTGACAATGGAGTATTATATTTCAGTTTTGCTTCGTTACTGTTTATACTTACTCTTTTATTTTTCACTTTATGTTTAACTCTTGTTTACAGTATACCCTAAGTAGTAGCGGTCACATCATAATATTAAAAGTTTATAAATACAAACACCTGGGTTGGCGCAATTATTTCTGTATAATTAATATTCGCCTTAGGGACGATTTGAACCCACTGCTGCATCGACGTAACCATAACTCTTTTTTTTTAAAACATAGCCCATACTTTTAACAACAGGCAGGGAGGCTTTTCTAAGTGTATCCATTTAATTAAATTCTAGACAATCATAAATAATGTTATATAAAAATGAGAAATATTTAAAATCACTCCTAATTAAGTACATTAATTTGAACTTATCTCAAAAAGTGCGTGATCTAGTAAGTTCGTTACAAAAGTATACGATGCATTTATGAATGTCTACCGCATTGTCAACAAGATCTGTTTTTTTGGGGAATAGAATTGCAATTTCTTTTTGAAATAAAAAAAGGTTTGTTTTTATTTCAACAAACGATTATACTACCGAGTCTAAACCTCCTGTGTGAATTTGGGCACCTTTAGAAAAGCCACCGTGTAAATATGTATATAAATATAAATATATATATATATATATATATATATATATATATATATATATATATATATATATATATACATTTTATATATACATATATTATATATATAATATGAATATATAACAACATAACGTCCTTACAACAGGAGATAAGAGTATCCTGATTTTGACGTTTTCCAACCATAAACAAGTGGCTTAACAACAAGATGCCAAACAACTATCCGTGGGTCACACAAATATTTGCCCGTGTTGGAATCGAACCCACGACACGCGACGCCGACAATACCTTGGCTACTGCCCCACGGAGTCAAAACTGTCAGACAGTCGACACACAATATACGAAAAAAAATTAGTTGTTAACGTTGATACGCTTTTGGTACAATTCGTGAGCAAGAGAATAATTTCCGTTTCAAATCGATTCGTTGGGACACGAATTCGATATTGATGATTGTGTATGGGACAGTCATTAGCTATTTCCTCAAGATCCGGGCTCTAAAGTATTTCCGGTTTCTGTATTCCCTAAAGCTGAATCATTAATTTATTGAACTCAGTAACGTGTGTATAATTTAGATGACTCCGTGGCCCAGTTGTCAAGTTATTGGCTTCGCCACTGGGGGTCATGGGATCGATTTCCACATGAGACAAATCAGTCTTTAAAATACCTTCGTAACTACTAATTAGTAATGATATTAGTTTAGTAAACATTTGGATGAAATGTTCATAACGATTCTATTATAAAGTGTAAAATTTGTGTGTACTTTTGCACGCACGTAAGAAGTTGACGTTTTCAAAAAACTTTTTTTTGTTCAACTTCAAGTAAAGATGTGAAGTAGAGCATTTATTAAACTAATAACAATACAATAAATAAGTATGCGAATTTATTTATAAGAAATATCATGCGCACTTTGGCTATTTTCTGGCATAAAAAAATCAAACATTTAAGTTGGAAATATCAGTGTTAGCTCGTCTGGGCGGAAGAATAAGTTGAACGGGACAAAGGCAAGAAGATTTTTTTTAATGTTTTTATGTAACGAAAAGGCGGGATAAATGGAATTGTTTTTCCATACAACTACTGCATATAAAGAAGAGTACATGCTAGTGCCAATAATGAGAGATACTCCCGTTCTGGTCGTTTCTCAAGACACACAAAGCAGAAGAACACCATTAAATTCCTGCATCGTGGAAGTTTTTGTACGTCATCTACAAATATTCACATTTTAACCGTCCACATTTGAATTTATCACGTGAAGGGATTTATTTCGTTCCATATCTGTGTCGAACAGTTTGCTAGGTCCGTCCAAGTCTCATACCAATATTTTAAAAAAGCTAGAATGCGGTATTAAACACTTCACAAAGATTTTTTTAAGCTTCGTCGCTACTTGCCGTTAAAATAACCCATAAACTGGTTAGTGTGCAAAAATTGCAGCACTGTGATTAAATTTTTTGTAGCCTCATTAGGTTAATGATCCTATCGACCAGACTCTACAACACCTTATTTTAACGGTCCTTCATTCTCTGCCTCTTAAGTTGGCCGTATAATTATAACGTTCGCGGCAAAAGTCGCTTTCAGCATAATGCCTAACGTCAGCCACGTAAGAAAATATGGCTTGAAGTTATTCATCGCCAGCTTGAATAAAATCCTAGTTCGGTTTCAACCTAAGAAATAGGTAATTTTCACAAAAGTCTAGGTCTAGGCGAAGTGCAATTTAGGAGACTAGCTTTCGAAAACATCAAGATTCTCTATTTTTAAAGGGGAAAACGTTCCTTTGACGGATTAATTATCAAAAAATGTGTTCCTTGCTCGTTTGTCATATTTTATTTGAAAGAAGTTTAGATCTAACATTGAGTCGTAATAGCTCAGTGTCAGGGCGCTTGCCTTTAATTCAATATACTCTAGCAACCTGAGTTCAATTCCCGGTGCCGGAACCAATGAAATTGTTAATTTTAAGAGCTGTTATATTATTTTTCGTAAGGAAACCTGCATATTTTCGTAATAATAACAAAAAAAATATTTCGAAGATATCTGAAGACCACCAATCCGCAGTGGGGTCGCGAGTCCTTTGCTTAGCAGTGGGACATTTACAGGCTTTTATTTTCCCTTTTTATTCTTTTCTCACGGCTACCATGCTATAACTATATCCGCGCCCAGTTTGATAAATACGGACAAAATTATTGCCTGAAAACTGAAGAAATATCAAATTAATTTACGTAACGAACGCTCATAACTGTTGGTACGCGATTATCGTAGGGAGCTAACTCCCCGCTAATCGCTTCAGCGAGGCGCTCCGCTTGTCAATGTGGCCAAGCCCTGGGGTTCTTTGCAACTGCAGTATCGCCCTAGTACACGACTGGGGGATCTCGTCCGCCGCACGGCATTCCACGTTGTGCCCTCGTCGCTGCCGCCTGCCTCGCTTCAAGGTACTGTCCTCCTATAAATCTTCGGGCGTTTTGTTCAGAGCTTTCGACTCTTTGAATTTATCTACTCATTGAAGTTTGGCTCGTACGATAGATCTTTGACATGGAAATTTTGTGTTTAATACAAAATAAAATTTGGATATATTATTATCGTAATTTTTTTACTTAAAATAAAATGTATGAACCGGTTGTTAAAATTTGTATGGATGAAATAAGTGTTGTCTTATTCTTTGTCCAATACAAAACGAAATTGCTTTATTCAGAAATAGCTTTTTAATTATTTTGAAACTTTTTCCTCTCCTAAAGTATTAAGTGGGCCATTCATTACAACTTTATTGTATTGCCCCCGAAGATACTTTGAAAAATCAACCGCTTTTGACATGTTCTTAATTTATGCTTAGTTTTCAAAACTTGAAGTTTAAGCAATTTCCAAATGAGAAGATAAAGGTAACTTCTTAAATCTTCTGACAAAGCGCGTTTTATCTTTGCTTTTTTAAACGTCTCCTTAGTTTGTTTAAATCTTTATTACGGACATTTCGTTAGTAAAAAATAAAAGCTACAATAAGTTACATAAGTCGTAAAGAAGAAAAATCGAATGTTAATATTTTAAGGCATATTGCGATTAAAAACGATTAAATTAGGAAGAAAGGTAAAAAGCTACGAAATACTTAAAAAAATGAAATTTAAGTATTTAAAAACATATTTAATATAACAATTTTAATAATAAGAGAGGTTGAATTTAGTTTTTTAGTATTTGGGACTGGTGTAATAAAGTTTCTGGTTAGCAAGTTGTAGTCATACATTTTTAGGGTAATGAGTGCCATTATTCCAACGCGCTGGGGCTTTCGGATTAATTAACATGTTTCGAAAAAGTTTTATTTTTATTCTTAAACGCTAACAGCTTTTGTTAACTTTATTTTTACGTCGTATAATCGCGTGTTGCGTCTTCCTAGTCGGACAGTACACATTCGCTATACCTTAGAGACCTGTTAAAAGTCCGTTAAAACTTGGTGTATTTGTTTAATTTACCGCTTTTACGGAATAAAGAACAAAATGAAGGTGGTTCATTCAATGTAGTTTTTAAATTTTACGTAATTCACTCTGTACCATTAAAAAGAGTCATAAATTAATCATTAACCCACTTTACCTAAAAATGAGCTTAATACTGTTAATTGTATAGTAATTTAAATAGAGTAATTATAACTAGACTTGGACAATATTTACCTTTATTTTTAACCTAAATATCCAACTTTTTCACTTTGACTGGACTTTTTTAACTGATCTTCTTTAAAATTCTCTTTAAATTCTTTGCCCTGATGTATTAATATCAATTTGTGAACGTTAAAGGCATGCACTTTTAGAAAATAGTGCTTCAAAACGATGGGTGATTTGCAAGAATTAAAACTCGTAGGAATCAAAATTCAATCATAATAACTTATAACTCGAAAATTTTGTTGCTCAATCACGTACCGCAATTATATCGCAGATATCGTAGACTTTCTAATATCCAAAGTTACGAAAAATAACTTAACTATTAAAATGAACATTACAAGTATACCCCGATAACCGATATGTTTCAGTACAATTTTTCTTTGTTATAACACAATAGATATTTTTAGCTGATATTTTTATACAGGATGCCTAGAAAAGTACCTAAAGTTAGAGGCAATACCTAAAAAAAAAATCTAGCACGATAGAACCTATTTGAGACCCGAGACGCTTACTCTACGTTACATAATTCGGCGACGAAGGAACGGCAGTAGGTAAAATTAAATTGTCATGTAACAGCGGTGTCGATTCGAATGTCGGTAGGTATGAATTGTAGCTTTCTTATCCCCAAATTCCACAAACGCTTATTGCCACAATGTTTTTTATTGGAAAATGAAACTCAAACGTACCACGAAATGATAGTACGCCGGAGCGAAGTGGAATTTTTATACTTCTGCGTTTCGTTCCGTGAGTTAGGTAACTGGGGCTCACTTCATTAAAAGCAACATCTGCAATTTGACGGGTGTTGCAGATGTCCATGGGCGGCTTTTGTCAGTTAACGTCAAGTGAACTGACTGCTCGCTTGGCTTGGTTATAAATGTTTAAGAAATTCGTATTCGCTATTGTGTTACAGTCACTCAGCCAATATCGATCAAAGGTTTGGGTAGGGTTACCCAAGACGCCTAAAGCCGACAAAATTTATTCAGCGTCATTGAAGTATCAAGGCACTTTCTTTACGATGAATGAAAATTTATGTTAGTAGATTGTTTGCCTTTGTAAAGTATTATTGTGTTGCTAAAATTCGTATGAGCTACTCGACAAAATAAAGTCTTACGTAGTACGGTAATGCAATCAATATTTTAAATATGCTGGCGATTTTATTGATTTAATAATTGGAAAATGCTTCGTAGATTTATAAGTTGTTGATTATTCTATTTTAGAATTACTTATTTATGGGTTCCAGTAACAATTTTAGGTTATTAACAATTAACAACTGTGGAAAAATTAGTCGTGTAGATTCGTGCTTTGTGTTTTCATCCGAAATTTAGACTATAAAATATTACATCATCTACAACAACCAATTCAGGGTCCCGCGACTGCAATCGTGAATGCTAATGATTCAAATTATTTATCAAATTTCTCAAATCAAAGTATGTCTCAGATGATCTCATGTCACATTAAAAGAAATAGTGCTTTTAATGGTTTTAAAATATAATTCTTCTTTAATATACTGGGCTTTGTCAGAGTTAGAATAATATATATCTAACATTAAAACAACTTCTACAAATGAGAAGTTTCACAGAGGGCAAGTCTTTTTCTATTTTTCTGTGTTCGATTCGACTTTATCACAAGCCAGCCTCGCTTTTAAAGAAAAATCAACGGGTACAGTAAGAGCAGGATAACTCGGCAAATGGAATCTCTTAGTTGAAGCAAATCTAATTCATTTATTGGGTTTAAATCCCTGTGCCGATGATATTTTTAACGTTAAGTAACTTATCGCTTGCTTAGTGGCGAAGAAAAATTTCGTGAGAAAACCGGCATATTTTCAAAATAATAACAAAATAATTTCGAAGATATCGAAGATTTCGAAATCGGCCAATCCGCAGTGGGGTCGCGTGGTGGAGTAGGCCTTAATACCATTCAGAGCCGGCCATAACACTGAGATATATATAGGCCATATGTTCCATACCCTACTTTACTTTGTTCCTTTAATTTCTCCAATAACTTGTAGTGTCACAAGCTTTATAAGAACTTGTAGAAACCTAAGCATGACTGTATATAAAAGCAAACGAGGGCAAATGAAATTCAGCGCATATTGGACGCCAATCACGCTCTCGGGACTTGTATCCGCTACCACAAGACGCGATTCGTCGTTTCAGCCGATAGGCTGCCAAAGCTATCGCCAATAGGCAATAATTTCAACTTCAGCCCATTATCTTCACCAAGCTTCCTATGTCGGCGTTATTATTGCGTCATTCGTCGAGCTACGCAATAAAAAGTTCCGATTTTTCCGCACGTCCACAGAAAATAGGAAAAAAAGCAACTTTACGCATTCCCGAATTCAGCTTACTTTTCTTCATATTGTTACCTTATTCTGTTAATTCATTAGATTGGAACTTACTATATCCACGACATATGTTAATACATACATACATACATACACACGTATGTATATATGTAACATTATGAACATACATGCGTATGGTTAAATACTAATATACTACTTAAATAAGTAATTATTTATAATCAACGCGTGTAATTATTTATAATCAACTCGTGTAATTTATTATCGACTAAAAATATATAATTATGTAAAGTCACAATAGACAGCCATTTAGTCTATTTCTACATATTATTTCTAAACCGTTTTTGTCCGTGCGCCAAATTTTCCAAAATTCTTCAACAAATTTAATGATTCAATCACCATTTTAAAACCTATGTTAGGATTTTAAACGTAAAGGAAGAACAAAGTTATTTTCATTTAAAAAGTTATAATTTTTTTATGAAGAATGTATGTGATAATACAATGCATTGGCAATTGGTTTAAATGAAAGTTAGCTAATTGGACTGAAAAGGGTTATTATTCAAAATACCTTTCACTGATAAAAACTTATTTATACATTATTATATTACCATTCTGTGACTGATCATGGTATTTTGCGGTTACAAGTCTTTTCTCAATTTTTGAAGAACCATGAATATTGAAGTAGTTTTTTGTAAAAGTTTCGTCGTTTGTAAGGCTTTTGACAAAATCGTTTTTATTACGGTTCGTACCATAAAATGTAAAAAGGAACCCTTATTAGATCACTCGCTTGTCCGTCTGTCTGTCTGCGTGTCACCACCGATTTTCTCAGGAACGTGTGGACCTAGCCAATACAAAAATGGCGAAAAATAAAAAAAGTTGAAAATTAAGGTAACTTTTGTTACAAGTTTTCGCGAAAATCTAAATTTGTCCATAACTTTTTATCGTGTGTGACTCAGGACCTTGATTTTTACACCTGATAGTCCTTAGACCTCAGTATATGGTATAAATATCAAGTCCACTATTTATATGGTGGTGACTTTTTAATAATTTTACTATGTCGGTATAATGGGTAGTTACGGAACCCTCGGCGTACGAGTTGGAATCGCCCCTGACTCGATTTTTTCTATCATAACGCTGTTCAAGTATTTTATTCTGTTCCCCACTTTTATACACTTATATTGCCACGTCTCGCCCGTTATCGCACCGTCCCTCCCCTATTAGTGTATAAAAGTGGGTGAAATAATGCCTCGAATAAAATACTGATGATATTATATTATGAGACGAAGTTCCTTTTGGAGAAACCACAGAGTTCAACATAAGCTTAGAAAGTTGAATGAATGAATGAATACACTTTTATTAGTTATTTAGTATACACAATAGTAGCAATCGAACAATAAATTTATGCAATGTACAATTTGGCGCTTCATAGCGATCTCTTCCAGGCAACCAATGGCGTAAAGGAAAATTTTTAGTTATATACTGGCCATAACAGAGTTCATTCGCCTCCGAAGTAAATAATAATTAAGAAAACTTCCAAAATACAATACGTTATTGCCAACAAGACTTATTTTGCTTAAAGCAAGCAGCTCAGATGTATCTCTATGATTTTATATGTTTTTCTTTGTCGGATTTTATGGCCTTTAGGTCATGTCTTATATGCACTTTACTTCCCTTACATTACATGGTTATTATAGTTTATTGAAAGAATATTTTTTGTATTTGTAGATTGTATTAGAGGTTACTTTTATTTATTTAAATTTAATGTTTAAATTGTAAAAACATTGTCCTTATTACTTTAGGATAACATTATCCTGTGTTGTAAGGACGTTTTAAAAACATAAATTTCACATGGACAAACACCCCGATGCGAAACAACTATCTGTCGGTCGCACAAATAGTTGTCCCGTGTGGGGACTGAACCCACGTCGTCCGACGCCGAAGCCAATACCTTGGTAATTGCACCACGGAGTCATTAAATTACTGTGTCAAATTACTTATTTCACTTAGGTCATTTATAAGTATCAAACTGCTCAAAGTTAATTATATCAGTTTATGCAAGTATTTTAAGTTAAGTCATATGTTATATTGGTACACAGATTACTGATTCTTACATTACGGGCAACATAAAATTTTGGTGTAAATCAAAAATTAAAAAACCTAAAAACCCTAGTCATCTTTCAATTTGTTTCAACAGAGCTATGATAAGGTAATTCATTTCAATGCTTTGCCCTTAGAAACATTTGTTACAGTTAAAGACAATTTCAGGAGTTAAACAAAGGCTACGTTAATTTTATTCGGCCTCAGGAGTAGGGGCACTAATCCTGTTGATTTATTTAAACTTTATACGTAATAAGGCTTTGTTTAAGAAGTTAGTCCTAACAAATGGTCAACTTGCAAAAGTTTTAAACAATTGTTTGATAAACATTTAAACGAGGAAGTTGGTGAAATCGTTCGATTGATTAAATCAATGTAAGTAAGCGAATATTATTTTGGGGCTGGTAATATAAGATCGTTCCCTTAAACTACACAATTATTCTTTATTCCTGGTTATTAATTTTTTCTAAATTTAAAATGTCCTGTATGACTAATATATAAATGTCAATTAAAACATTGATATATATTTAATGATAAAATCGATTTATACGGATTAAGTTTAGCTGTTAATAGTAGACGTACTCGTAGATGCCATAGTATGTGAAATAAAAATCAATATGGAGTACCTCAAATTAATTTGTTAAAGGAACTGATCGGAAAATAATGAAACTATAGTTGCATATTAACTTTTGCACTGTTATAATAGGACTTATTATATATAACATTTACTATTCAATATACCTACTCAAGGATGAAATATTAATCTAGATAAGACTTTGGGTTGGCGCCATATGTAGGGTTACACAAGTTCATTCAAAATATTTTCTTGTCCAAAACTTTTTTCATTATTGACGTGAGACCACGAATTACAGACGTTATTGACATATTTTATTTGGTATTGACTTATTTTAGGTAGCGTAATTATGGAGTTACTTGTGGTTGGAGTAAATCAAACAGATAACGTTGTAAAAACGTGTTGATTTACATAATAAAATCAAACAACAATAATTAATACTGAACAATAATAATTGTAAATTTTGTTTCTCGTTTGTGTTTTAGAGTTTTAACGTAATCATAACATAAAAAAATATATCTGAGCATCTGTTTTATATACGTTAAAACTCCATTATTATGAAAAATACCCACGTCACTATCATTTCCGGTATACAAAAAGCAATTTGTCATGGCTGCCTATGCGACACGGTAATGAGTCTTTTGCCTGCGGTGAAAAGAATAAAAAACCTATTAAGATTCACCATTTCATTTGAGAATAACATTTTTGAAAACAAAATCAACAGAATTATAGAGTAGGATAAAAGTTATTTCTTTTGGAATTGTCTATACTTTAATAACATATTTTTAATACAATTTCTATGAACGATATAACTATACATTTCATTACACAAAATAACACGCACTTATTAACAAAAAAAGGATGGGGCTAGTTTTATGGTTGTATTGTAAGGCCTTGGGGTCATTTTGATTTTGAACTAGAGCTACAAGCATCTTTGGCTATTCGACAAAATTATTATTTCACTATCATGGTTTGAAATAAAGTAAACGTGTTTTTAGAGAACTAAAGTAACCGTCTCCTTTTTCAGGTACATTTTTCAGTGAACTAACGGTAAGTGAATAATTTATAATTAATTGCTTTTTTGATGAAAGCTTGCTGCTTTGATAGCTTGCTGTCCGGGTTTTCATTTTTAATTCAGCACCTCAAGCAACCCGAGTTCAAATCCCAGTATTGGCAAAAATGAAATTGTTAATTGCAAAAGAAATATCATTAAGAAATATCAAAAGAATATAAAATTGTAAAGGACGGACGTAGTACGAAAAAAGCATATTTTCAAAACAAAAAAAATTATTTCGAAGATATTTGAAGTCCGCCAATACGCGGTAGGGTCTTGTGGTGGACTATGTCCTAAAGAGATTTCTTTACAGAAGCTTTGCTCAGCATTGGGACATATACCTATAGGCTGTTATTTAACTATTTTTTTATATAATTAAACTTAAAAAGTAAATTTTTTAAAATGCATAACAATATTTAGATAAAAAACAATCGAAACGTATTGTATTTCTAAGTAAGGTTGTTAATTTTCGGGAAAAATTATAAAATCTAATGGTTTTAAAACTTTATTTTAAATTTTTTGTGTCCTGTAATGGACAAAAACAGATGGCGCCAAGCGTTGCTTAAAATGGGCTAAAACAAAGTAGAGACATTGTTTGTTAAGATTTTCGACAGCATGACAATCATCCGTTTATCTTAATGGAAGAAGCGTAAGTGTGTGATTCCAGAAGTGCGGGTTCGATTCCCGCGGCTGCGAATAACTTTTCGACCATTTTTCTACACATTGTAGTGAGCTAATTATTCAAAAAAATTTCATTCATAGTACAGTTTTTGATGTTTTAAAAAGAAGTTATTTTGTATTAAGTAAAAGAAGTCATTAAAAATAATGCTTTCTACTTATAAAATTAGGAAACACAGACGGTCGAAACGTTAAGGGTAATGACATAACATTAAATAACAAATAAGCAGTTTATTAAAGAGCATTAATAATCGCTTAAAATACGGCTGAGTTTATTATAGTTCATTACGGATAAAATCAAGACGGTAAATTTGATTGATGGTAGTATGTAATATATTTATAGAAGATATACCGAAATTTAACTTTTATATGAAATAAAACCTTCTTCACTGGCATTAATTAAATTTTTATCAAGTAATAACGGTTTGTAATTTAATAACAAAAAAAATATACAAAACATTCTGTCGAAGCTCAGAAAATTTCTTTATACATTTCACGTTTTTTTTTCATAAATAGACATTTAAATATCATTTACATTACTTGTACACAAACATGATAATGGCGATTTAAGATTAACTTTATAGTAAGTCGAGGAAAGTAACATTTGATAATTCTAGATAATCGGGAGATATGCAGTTGTACACCAATTATTTTGATTTCATCGTCATTATCATCATTACCACCATTTCGCTCTGTCCGAGTCCCCTGCGGATCATAGGCCTCCCGCATAGTGGTTTCGCATCATACGGTGGTAGATCCATGCGACGGTGTTCTCTGTTGCACGAATGGGCTGGTCCATGCGGGTTAGAACCACGACCTCACAGAAGACCGGCGTGAAGAAGACGTGTAACACTTCTGCGTTTCGTCTGCTGAGTGAGGTAGCTGGGGCCCACTCTATTAAGAGAAGGCAACGCATCTGCAATCCTGCGGGTGTTGCAAATGTCCATGGGCAGGCGGTAATCACTTGACACCAGATGAACCGCCTGTTCATTTGCCACTTACTCACATAAAAAGAAGACTGCCACGAATCACGACCCTGAGCCACCTGCATCCGTCTTACTCCCTCACATTTGTATACTCGTAGGTCATCACTCCACGTAGTTGTGGGCTTGTCCTTCGATACGAGGCTGCCACCGCAGAAACTTTTTTCCCTTTTTAACAGACCCAAAAAGAGAACTAATTATTCTACCGTAGAAATCAAATTATTTTGCAGTTACAAATGAATATTTTATCTAAAAAAAAATTAGTGTCAGAATTATAGTCCAGCCCACACAACCCAACTCACTTTCGTTTTTTACAGATTACAATGTCGATCTCCGAATTCAGACGGAAGAAGCTCCTCTACGTTTTCAACGTTTTCTTCGGTATTTACTTTCAAAGTTTTTTACTTTAAAATTAATATTTATAATCAATATAACAATACATATTATACACTGCTACATACATGTTACTTTCTTTTATAGATGTCAACCAAAGTGGAACGATTGAGAGAAAAGACTTTGAAATTGCCATTGAGGTAAGTTTAAGATAAAGCTTAAAAATAATCTTTGTAGATTCTGTTTTTTGTATTATTAAACTAATATATTAAAGGTTTAAACTGTTTGTATGAATGTAATGCTCATGGGAATAACCGATTCTAAATATTTTTTTGGGTAATGCAAGGCTGAGTATTATAGAAACATAGTTTACCTTTAACTGATGAGAATAAATTTTATTTGGAAAATCTTTACACTGGGGATCAATTGCCAAAATTGAGGGCTGCTATATATATGCTAGAAAACTGTATGTTAAAATACAAAACGCTCATTGCTTCATTGAAGTATTCAATACTATTATTCAATAAAGTATCAACAATTAATGATTTAAAATTCAGATTGATTTACCTTTGTGAAAGAAAAGCCATCTGTTCTTCTTTTCTATGTGTATATATTCTTCAAGTTTTCGTTTTTTACGTTTTTTCCTGTATCACTAGAAAATCTGCAGCCTCCGAGGGTGGAAATCAGGTGATGCAAAGCACACGGAGACCCACGAAATAATGATTAAGATATGGGATGGTTTAAGGAAGAGGGCCGATTCCAACAAGGATGGACAGGTGGGATTAAATCTGTTTATAATTATCTTATAAAACATAGGTTATAAACTATTTTAAAAACATCAAAAAATCTAATGAATTATTTGCAGCATCGTTTAAATAACAGAAGGTAAATTTGAAATAAACCGCTTTAACGATAAAGTAAAATGCTTCTGGTCCCTTTTTTATTTTAAAATGTGTCGAACGAGCTGGTGGTTCATCTGATGTTAAGTGACAACGGCCGCCCATGGACATTTGCAACACCCGTAGACTTGCAGATGCGTCACCACCTTTTAATAAGCTGGCTTCTGGTTACGCTGGGCACTAGAAGAAACGCGAAGTTTAACACCTATACTTCACGCCGGTTTTCTAAGGTCGTGTTACTTACCCGGACGCATCTGCCTATTCATGCCATAGTTTTAACATGTTTAAATGTAGTTCAGTTTTGTTTTCAAATTTATATTGTGTAAAACTATTGCAATAAACTTTCCTCCACTATTGCTTTACGATTGTCAATCGAAATTGATTATGTAACAGAACTTAATTGGAACCTTAACAGGTGTCGGTGGAAGAGTGGGTGTCGATGTGGAACGATTACGCTCAGAATCCATCGGCGGCTTTGAAATGGCAGCAGCAGTACTGCCACTTCATGTTCCAACTCGAGGATGCCAGCGCTGATGGTTCAATTGACTGCGACGAGTTCACCACTGTCTGCTCCTCTTATGGCATTGATCCTCAGGAATGCAAATTGGCATTCAGCAAAATGGCCAAGGTGAAAACTGATTCTCTTTTATTTTATTTTTTGTTTCGCTACGATACAGATACGCTTTTATCATTCATTATATGAAAAAAAATATATATATATTATTTGAAAAAAGATTATGTTTTTAGAAATACTGTGAAAAAATAATTATTAATTAGTTTATTTGCACATTTGGTAGTAATATGACATTGGAATATTAACGTAATTAAAGGAAAATTTACGGTGAATATTAATTTGGACATTTCATAAAGAATAAATTTTAAATGTTCAATTTTAACTCTGATATGATTTCAACACTAAAAATAAAAAGTTTCGACACTGATGAAAACTTTAATGGAGTCAATGTACGGTTTGTAGTTGAAGATTAATTTAAAAAAAAAAAAAAACGTGAGCTTGCTCTAAACGGGCACAAGCGAAGTAGAATAGAAAATGACTTTTTCTAAACGGTTTCTAAATAGAACTTTATCGCAGGGCAAGCCCAGTGTCTCCTGGGAGGAGTTTCAAGAGCTTTGGAAGGAGTACTTTTCCACGGAGGACCCGAATGCCGCTGGCAATTTCATATTCGGCCGTACAAGCTTCTAAGTATTGAACGATGGTGTCGAAATTGCCAACACCCACACTTTTTGGGTCCACACAACATGGACAAACGGAATGAAGACCGTCTATAATATTTCATTCTATAATAATATAATTCGCTAATTCAGCTTGCGAGATGGCTCGTGTGAGAAGTTAGTGTGAAAACTTCGATAGTATGATTTGATGTAACAATTTCATCGATAGAAACCCTTAATAAGACGACACTTTTTGTGTCTAAGTTAAAATTAATTTTGTGTGCCCTTGTCATCACTAAGATCTCCTTCAAGTAACTTCTTGTTAGTAAGTCGATAGGTGTATGTGTAACTTTGACTAAACTTTAAATCAATTTAAAAAATGTTAAATCTCAAACTTTTTCCCGTAAATTCTGGACTTCTTAGTGTTCTTGCTACCTTATAATTATGAATGAATGAATTCTCTTTCTAATATATGATTAATAGAATATCTCTAGTCATATCTAAGTGTAATTCTGTAACCAGATTTGTTTTGTTAAATATGATAATAAATGTTGAGATCATTTATTTAACCATAATTATTACTTTAATTTTTAATAAGACTCAATAAACTGCCAGCATTTTTCGGTCTCAAATTCTAGTCCATTCTTTATTATTTAGGGATTTATTTTGATAGTTTTTATATTTTACTTATGTTTATAAATAGATTTCACGTTGTTCAGCCGCTATACTATTTAGATGTTATAGAAATCGATTTATTGTATGTATATAATAAAATGACTATTAATGTCAAATTTTGTGATTTTTCTTAAAAGATCCTTTCCCTTTATACAGTTTAAGGCATAATATCAAAAATACTTTTTACTGGTTATAGAAGTACGTCTATTTCGTTTTAACATCCAGCATGAAATACGAAAGTCTAGTTTGTTTCATTACTGTGCATTTGACTTCCATTCAGAAATATTTTTTTATTAAAACTAAGATTGAAGTGAAAAAAAAAAGAAAATAATAATAAAGCGTTGATTATTTAAAACCAAAGTAAAAACAAGATAACTATTAAAACATTGACTTTAATTAATTTTAAGGTTCAATTTTAATATGCAATGTTGAAGAGAAACCAAAATTTGGTTACTTTTTTTTTCTTCAGGAATGATTAAAACGGCAACGCTTTAATAATTAAGATACAAAATTAAAAAAAGTAATTTGAAACTCCTGTTTTCATTTTAAGAATGACGAGAAGAAGCAGTCACATCATTAGTGGAAATAACAAAACATATCTCACCAACCCAACAAGTACTAAAGTTGGAGTTCGGATAGATCTGACAACATGAAATAAAACGTCTACAATAATTACACATTGTGGTAAAACTGTGTTTTTGTACTGTGCCACTGTGCTACAGTTAGCTCGGAAGTATAGAGTAAATTATTATATCATAAAGTTATAAAAAAGATTCAGAAGGAAATTAATACATTTATGATCTAAAAACTCTTTGTTTCATTTTTGAGTAGTAACTTCAGACAAGCGTCAGTGGATGATGATTATATAAATATGAATTATTGAGTAATGTACTAAATGTGCAGTTACTAAGTAATAGATTATAACATTTATAGTCCGTTTCCTACTTTTTAATAAGATGTGAAATAATAATTGGCTGTTGATATTCTGTATCGAGGCCCAAAGTATGCCTTCTCGTACTCTCTAAGATCTTAGAAACTAAGTCTAGAGAGGTATCTCTTGAACTTGCGTTTATTTATGACTCGAGAAATTACCTAGTAAAGCAAATGTCCAAAGAACCTTTTAGAATAAATCGTCTTCGAATCTTCATACTTGAAATTATAAGGCAAAGTGCGTTTCGTACAAAATCAAAAATATTATCTTAGCACAGAATGTTCAAATATTTTTTTGGACTCGAATCTATAAAAGAAATAAAAAAAGGTATGCATAATATCTTAATAATGAAGGTTGGGTATATTTGCTACTTTGGTTACACAAATAAATGAATACAGTAGCCACATAAGGTTTCGGTTCCCACTGTTATCAACCAAAATTGAGCTAATAACAGGTTTGGTGCTACAGGTACACCTTGAAATTATTGATTTGAAAACATGAAATAAATTCATAACAAAATATTACACAAAAAATTATTAAATTAAATATTATAAATTAAATATTAAACAAAAAATTACACAACAAGTTACAAGTTACTTATGATAAACTTGTCGGTTAATTACTGGTGGGTACGACAATTTTAACATTAATTTATAATTAAATAACTGAAAGAATAATTCTGTACAAGTTTACTATAAATATAGCCTCAGTAGTATTTACAGAATATCGAATTTAATTTCCACCCCCTGAGTAGGCAGTTTAAATTAAACTTGGTATTCTTTAAATACTCCTGATATTTTTGATACAATATTGCACTTAATAATATTTCTTTTACTTCTTACGATCGTTCCAAGATTGATGACCCGTTCCTTGTAATGTTAAGGCAGTATACGGAATGTGACACTCAAGTGTCATTAATTCATTTATAAATTTTGTTTTTTAAACACATAATGAATTATTTTGATATTACAATATTTGTGAGTATTTATTAATTAAAATTTTTGTTATGTCTTTATAAAATTTAATAAATTCAAATCTGAACATAAATTTTAATGTTGCTATTTTTATAAGATATAATGTTGCCATTTTACAAAGTTTTATCGATTATAAATTACTTACGTATTATTAATACGTGTAAAAAATAACACTTCCTTACAAATAAATATAGAATAAATTGTAGGCTTACAATACGTTATTAAAACAAAAAGTAAGTATACGAATAAATATGTGAAAACTTGTTATCTAAAGTAACATTTCCCCTGATATTTATTAACTTTACTGTAAAACCAATCCCGATCAGCCATACTGCAGTCAACTTTTAATCTTTTACACAATTACTGGATTAAGAAAGCAATTTCAATTTATATTGCAGCGTAACAAAATTAATTGTTGCTGCGTGTGTCCGTACCGTCCCTTAATAAGAGAAATTCTGATCGTTGCACCACGTCCTGAATTACATAAGGAAAGTAAAATTGAAGATATTATTAGCAGGACTTTCTACAAAACTGCACATACATTTGATTTTAGCACGAATAATATAATTATAACAATAACAATTGCATTGGGATAAAAGTACAGATAAGCGAAACTTTCTTTTTCGCCTGGCAGTATTTTTAAGCGACTGAGAAACGACATTAAAATAAAGGATAAAAATCTTGGAAAATGTATATTTTTCGTAAATTAAAAATAACAAACTTGTAAGTTACACTGAGGATATGTATCGTGAACTTCAATAGAAAAATTCTTAATATCCACGTATTGCCAACATGCTACTTTAGCAAAACTTCAGAACGACATTCGAAATCTAGCGATTAATTTTCAAGGTACATACTTGTGGAAATATATTTGATATTTTCAACTTCCTTAAAGTTCTTATAAACTTTTTCAATTATTTAGTTTAACTTTTTCAATTATTTAGTTTAAATTCGCATTAATTGTATTTAATAATCATTGATTGCATATATATCCTTTAATTTTACTCCATTTACGAGTATATTTTAACGCATTTAACAAAGAAAGTAACATAAAATCGCACCCACAACTTAATTAATAATCATTTTATTCAAAATAAAAAAAGTATTTACAGAATTTGCAACAATCTAGAAGACATGGGATCCCGTAAAACATAGTTTATAAACAAATGTTCTTGGCAATTTATAAAAAAAATGGAATTTGGAGCGAAATCAGCAGAAAAAAAGGGTGACACTAAAACTGCAAATGGCAGATCATAGCTTTTTATAGACAGTTTCGTGGCTGAATAAATTTTGTGAAACGCCTAGCTATGCTTAACTTAACAAAGCAAGTTTCTAGATTGTCAAAAAGAATTTCAATTTAGGGTGTGTATAGTTTAGTAGGTATATTTCCCAAACGTATTCGTTTATCTAAAGGGATGGTTAAACTATCACTTCACTTCCAATAATCGACGTTGATTTGTCGTAATTCTGTAACAAAAAATAGTATCATAAAATCGAATCTTATACCAGGTCATTTATAAAAATTGACATATTTCATAATTTTTTTTAAACGTTTTCCTTACTTTATCATAACATTATCCTGGGTTGTAAGGACGTTTTACAAATATAAATTTTTCACACAAATAGTTGTCCCGTGTGGGAATCGAACCCAAGACTCCCTACGCCGAAGCCATTACCTTGGCAACAGCGCCACGGAGTCATCAAATTATACTCAGTATCATCCAAAATTGAAAATGAATTTATAATATAGCTGTGATGTGACTTTACATATTAAATTCTCATCGTTCGAATTATTTGGATAATGCTGCTGCCGTCCACATGTAACGATTCGAAATTTCGCGACATTTTCCAAACTCGTATGCGAAAATCATGCGCAATTTCCTATTGTGCCACCAACGCACGATAAGTCACACGCAATAACAACGTGAATGTACCAGATACCTACAGTGAGCGAACGAATGGTGCGTTTAGTTTCATCGTTTCATTTCTGAAAATTTCAAACTAGGCATTACTTCAACTAGTATAAATAGGCACAAGAGTAGAATGGATTCGTATTTTTATTTGTGATGAAATCTGTGCGAAAATCGAAAACCCCTGTCGCCCTGGTTAAAGGCGAAGCAAGCAAGCCAGGGTCCAAGCGCAAATTGAGTTGTCATTTAAAATAGTTTACGGTTCTAACCTAACCTAACCTAACGTATTAAACAGGTGAAGTTGTACAAAAAATATAAATAAGACCCTCCCACTGATAAATGCAATTTCTTAACGGTTTGTCTAAGTAATTGTTTTTTTTATATATATTTTTTATATATTATAAGTTTTTAGATAAACTGTTATGTAAAGAATTTCATTAAATCGTTTGTCTGCTCCTCCTATGCCTTGAACCCTGCAAGCATTTGGTACTTCCGGAATTTAAAATGAATTTAAACACTCACATTCTTTCGACGTACT